AGAGACCTGTGACAAGAAACAACGTTATGGCTAACTTTTTGTCTTTTTCAACACCTCTGCGACGCCTTCTTCGATGCTTAATTCGACACCACAAAGCAGTATAAGCCGAGCAGGCAACGGTTAGGGAAACTGACAGGGAAGTTACTGAAACAATATTAACCACGCCGGAGATGAATTTAAAACGAAGACCCAAGTAAAGACAAGATATTGCGACTGCTAACACCCAAGTGGCTGCCACGGCAACTATGTAGCATTTCAGTGGAGTGGAATGGCGATATCTCCAGGGCCAGCCGACTGCATAAAGCCTTTCTACAGATACAACTGCCAAAGTGAAAACTGAAGCCATACCAGACACGACATCAAAACTGTAGTATAGAGCTTGGATAACTTGGCTTCTACTCCAAAGATTTGAATCTACGAAATGGAAGATGTAAAGTGGCATTGCTAATGCTCCAACCATCAAATCAGCCACGGCGAGAGAGATAAGGAAGTAGTGGGTTGGTCTTCGGATAAGTCTTGTTTTTGTAAAAGCAGCAATGGTCACAGAGTTGCCTGCTATAATAGTGAGAGCTACCAGGCCAAAGGCCATGCTTAAGGCAATGGACTCAGTTTTGGTGAGTGGGGAGTTTTCCGTGGAACTTGACATTCTAGGGCTGTAAAAAAAACCCAGCAATCATTATTAATATATGAAGGTTTTTACGGACAGAATAAGGGATGTGTATACATGTTACGTCGCATACATCGATGTTACGTTCGAACTAAAAGATGTTTCGATACATTTTACAACTAAAAGATGTTCGATACTTACAATGGGAAAGAGGATTTGGAAAACAGGAAATTATGTCGTATTATACCCAGGTTCCTCGCAATCCAACGCACATTTGTAAATACCGCAAAAAAGCTTCTAGTTAAGAAAGGTTTTTTAATGTATTCAAATGATTCCTGGCACGATCAGTCCATCGAAACCCTGTTTCCCTAAGTAAAATTTCCATGCAACTGCTCTTGTGGAAGTTATAAAATAACGTACCATGCATAATTTTTCATCTTCAATTTTCCCGTTCCTCGTTCATAACTTGTTTCGTTGTTTGTTCCTGAAATGCTGAATGACTTTATTTATCTAGTTATATTATTACATGACCGAGCTCCACATTTACCACACTTTTATTTATCATATAGTGTTTAGAAATCATAGGAGTTATATTTTCATGTATTTTTTTTATCTAAAATTTGACCTTCTACAAAGGGAAAACGTTTAAAAATGCAGACGTCAAGCAAATTGTCCAACAGCAACGAAACCGTACCAAGAATGGTGAAGAAAACAGCTCTGTGTTATGGGAATCTTGTCACGAACGTTCGAAACAATTATTCACAAATCTGAATGAATTTCTATCGCTAGAACTGGGCAACTATTTACGCTCTATTAGAAACCCGAAAACAGACAGAGAAGAGTATGAACAAGATACTTTAACAAGTTTTCGCTGATCGAATTAAAAGTTGTACCATTTTGTAATGTTTCCTTCTTTACATGGAAAATGTTAAAACAATATATGAACTAAACTTAGCTCAAGTAATTTTGCTGAAATTTGGGAATTAATTTTGGAAAGGCAATGTGGGTAAAATTGTCGATACTTTTCAGGAAGGTCTATGTTCATCCTTAAATCGAAACAGCGTCAAATTTCTCATTAATATACCAGTTCATCGTCAGATGCGCCGCATATGACAATAAATGAGCCGATGACCAAAGGTAAATTGTACTAAAAGAAACTCTCAAAGAGAAAAGAAAAACAATTACGATATGTTATATTAATGACCCGTTAATTTTCGTTGGCATCAAAAAGTACTCCCACTATCTCCTTTCTATGCCCTGAACGTTCTTAAACTTATTGTTTTTATATCTATATCATCGCTGAAATGAGGACGATATCTGAAAAAGAAAAATATGTAAAAAAATAATCAAACAGTTTTCTTAAGTAATAAATCGCCCATGCGATATTTCGTTTGACCTTTTCATCGATCTTTTTGGCAATATTTTCAACACTAATACATGTACGTGCGACATAATCCCAGAAAACCTTAGCTTATATTATACGATGTACTCACCGTATCTTTTCACAGCCAGCTGTTTTTTTCTGAAATCGTGTTTTCCTTTTTACAACCTCTTAGTTTGTAAACTAATATGATAAAACACAATGACTTGCGCCGTTCTTAATTACATTTGCATTTTAATAAAATCCCCAAAGATACGTCGTTAAATCGCAGAATTTTCTAGTAACTTGTGTCGGTTTCTCTTCCAGTAAGTTAAGATACTGTGTCGAGACATGCTTATATGGTACCGCAAAAGTACATATATAATAAAATATTAACTTAACTTGGGATAGAAAATCGTCGGCTAGATTTTTGTATACATATTTGTAGATATTATTATTATGGTGTGAGTAAATTGTAGCCAAATCATAGCTAAATACAGGAAAGAAAATTTAAAATCGCAGCAAATATATTTACTCGTAAAACTATCTATTCTAGCTACATGCACTTATGTTTCTTTCTACGTCAGCATCTACCATGGCTCAACCGGTAAAGTTGTCCATAGATAAAATTTCCATCTCGGGTTTCATGCTAAACTGTTAAACTAACATGATCGCATCCTTTAAACTTATGACCAATATGCATGGACATGTTAAAAAAGTGAAAGGAATTTAGCAATTAGTCACTATACCCAAGGAATAAATGTATATTTTTATAATATTTTTTGTCAAAAGTATAATTACGTACATTTTAAGGTAGTTATTGCATTTAAAAAAAGCCAAAGCAGGGATATACTTCTATTTACATTGCTTTGTGCCACACACTGACAAGATGTAGGGAAAACACGTATTCTCACACCTCCAACCTCGTCTGCATGGTTCAAACGTTTGTTGTCTTTTTCCAACGAGTGTCAATTGGAAAATTACTTTGAAGTAAAAAATACCAAATACAACACTTACGTTTACGTTTGCCAAAAAACGAAACAGCAGAAAGCTTCGTCTTCTTAGAATTGTATCTACATATTATTGTTTTCTTTCCAGAAGAAGTATCATAATATAAAATGCTTGCGGTTGATTGAAATTCAAATTTTATGGCATTTTGATGACAGCCGAAATGACAACTTTGGTCGTTGCTACACGTAACCCACTTTAATGAACAAACACTTCATTTTATATCTGCAATATCAGTGAAAACGAATTCTAATCTGTCCGGCACAAAGATTTGGTGATTCCAAGTTATAATTTTTTTATCTTTTTCATCTTTTTATTTTTCAGTATAACAATGGTAATGGTTTAATACTGCACCTTTGTTTATATGAGTTTTGGTAATTTGGTTTATATCAAGGAAAACCGTCAAAGACATTTGCATTTGTAAGTGGTTTATTTCGCAGATTTCAGGAAGGAAACGAATATATTTCTGTCAGCCATCAACGGACGCCGAGATATTGCTCATTATCAACACCTAATTAGCCCTATGTCTTCCTGATAAAAAAATATTATCACCATCTGGCGGCTTATGACCTGCTGTCACAAGCTGAGAAACAACACATTGAAACATTGATATATTTTTCTCCAAACAAACCATTGAAACACCCCCACAAATAAATGTTATCACGAAATGTGACGCACTGATTTAATCTAGAAATAAACATGTGGAGCATAGACTTAATGTAGAAATAAATAATTTATATGGACGTCCAAATCAATTAAACGTTTTTTCTGTAGTTTGAAATATTTTGGGAACATTTTAATATAAGTATTACTAAACTAACCTAATTCTTGATAATACGAAAGAAAAATATTGTTAAGTCAATTGGAAACTGTAAGCAATACGAAAGAAAGGTACCGCATTTCTCGTCTTTGAAACGTTTTCTGCCAAACACTTCCGCTGTCTGTTTGTGCATGTCTTTCAAGCTGAGTAACCAAGCCTTCTCCCTTTGAGTGCTCATTTGATCTCACTGTGATCGACGGAGGCGTCCGAGATTCGACACGAAAAATTCCATACTGATCATGATGGTGTAGCTGCACATGGATCGATCTGTGTAGTCTGATTGCGTGTTACCGGGCGTGCCATACATACAGTCAGGCATAAATATCTGTATAATCTACGAAAAACTTTGTAGAGCTATGTCATAATGTGTAATTTTAAGTGTCAAGTCTCAGATTTCGGTTAACTCTCTCTCGCGAGGTGGGTAGGGGTGGGGGGGAGGGGGAAAGGGTGTGGATACGGAGGAGACCTCGTACAGTTGTGTAGAATAACATTAATATGCAGGGTTTTACTTTCAATCGCCAAATATAATAGCTGTTTATATTACAATCGAGTCTGGGGTAAAATATTATTTTACTGGGAAAACACACAAAAGAAAAAAATACGAAAGTTTGAAAATACCTGGTGGCTTTTTACGGCTGCCTTCAGTATCTAGGCCCTGGTTTTGAAATCCATACGGCATACACCTTTTTCACTTCCAACTTCGATCCCAGGTTCTCTCTCCTTTTCCTCCCAAAGGAGAGGAGCGTGGGATCGAGGTTGCCTCACTTCCGCTTTAGAACATTTTATATTTTCCACTCCTTTTTACTATTTCTACATCCTAACACAAACATACTAGACCGCCTTGATTGACTGTCAAACCGTAGAAAAAAAACTGAAACAAAAGCTATTAAACATAATTGAATCTGAATCCAGATTTTCTGGATTTCTGACACGAAATGCTCCATTTTAAAGCAATAAATATTGCGGTGAGTAAAATAAACATATCTCAGAATTATATTTACTATTTCATGTTTATTTATTTCGTTATTAGCAACATATATGAACTTTGGAAGTCTCTTCATTTTGAGTGCAACTGGAACTTAAGATATCATTAATGAACATGGATCAATATTAGTAATAAAGAAAGATGATAAATAAGATGGTAAATGAAATGAGAAAGATGTTGTTTCAGTTTGTCACGAGCGTGGAACAAAGAAAAAAATCTGAGTCCCTGATGGGAGTCGAACCTATGACTTTCCGCACATCGGTCGGATGCTCTAACCACTGAGCCACAGGAAGACTCGTGGCAAGCTATAGGCCATATACTAGGATCGTATGTGACACGCGTCCTGTATACTGCTACGATCAGCAATGTCGAAAGCGACAGTTGTGATAAGTAATGGTAATGTGACTGAGTGGAGTCCAATTCGGTCTGTAATCAAACGAGTGATTAACAAGCGCTAGCGGGAGTCCGATTTGCTTTCGACATTACTGATCTTTGTAGTATGCAGGACGCGTGTCACCTAGTAAATGGCATAACCTAAAACACAGAAAATTCCAGATTTGGAAAAACATGCCTGTCAAAATATGGTTACCGTTGTAACTTCAAGTTCCGTAGGCTCGATTTTCCCCGCCGCTCTCTTCTCAAGTGCCCCCGGCCTACACGTTCTGTGAACAAATCAGCCATGTCATACCAAACTGTTCCCACGTAATTTTTAGGTAGGCAAGCCAGAATTGTCTTTGAGTTTAAGACTAGGCAATCCATTTTATCGAATATCGTATCGCGCTATTTTTTTATTCTTCTTCTTTATATGATTTATTTGTACGCTTTATTTCGTTTTGCTCAGTTTACTTCAAAATTTTAATTTAAACTTGTGTTGCTGCTGCTTAACATAAGGTCATTTTGTTTCTAATAAAATTGTGCTGAATACATTGAATTCAGTAAGATCCTGTTAGCAAGACAGTATAAACAATTGCTTCTTTTCTGAGAGAAGAACAAAGAAAAGGCGAGATATACCGCTTTATTTCTCAGTGGAGTTTTATAGATTGTATACACTATTTTTCAAACGGCGGACAAATTCTCAAAACATCTGCAATTTGGATTTTTCTTTAATATTTGGAGGAAAATATCGACAGTTTGTTGCGGATTTTCAGTTGAGTTCCCCATAAATTTTCTTGGTAATGCTAATGGTAATGCATTTATATTTTTATATTTTCCATTTTTTTTTTTAACTACATGTATAAAATATAATTTTAATTTGTGTTTTTTTTTATGAAAATGAAAAAGATCGACTGCAAGATCGGGCGTCAGCGTTTATTAACTCACGTTTTAGCGAGGCACGGAACACACAATATTTTTCTCTCTTACCACTTTGCAATAGATGAACTTTTTTTTTATTTTGACTCCATTCAGTTTATCCAGTAAATGCCGACATTGTTGACACAGGTGAAGTACTTAAAAATAGTCTCGCCATCAATTGACGTTGCTTTAGCAGGTAATATTAAAAAAATATATATGTGCGAGCCAAAACAATATAAAAAAAAATATATATAATATATTTGGAATTTTCTAGCAAAATAACCGGCCAATAGTAAATAATTCAACCTTTGGTTCAACCTTAAAGGATTCCTTATATTGCGTTCGATCGGATAGTCGACCTTAAGCGAAGTTTGTTGTTGAAGCAAAGCAGCAGCTTTTGGATTTGTTTAGTTTTCGTCTACTAAAGCGAAATATGCTGGGTTTAGTGAATCGTATGCCGAGAAGGATAACTTCAAAAGGCATATTTTTCAAACTATTTTTATGAAAAAAAAAAAAAAGTGACGCATATATGTTCGGTTCAAACATATGAAGCCGTTTTATTACTGCTCCGGTAAACCCATTGTTACTCAATTATCGTGTTATTTAATTATTAACGAACAATGCAAATCTAATACCTTGCCAAATATCAAAAAAGCCGACTTGAACCTCAGTTCCACCCTCAGTTGTTCGTTTTTATATTTTGTCGATGCGGCATTCGAGAGCCGGGCTGATATACAATTCGATGTAGGGTGAACAAGGGTTCAAATTCATTTGAAGCTGAAGTTTTTCACTATGTGTCGGATCACTTTCTCCAATATGAAATAAAACCACCTGTCTGGTTGCAAAACATACAAACTCTGATCTGTTGTTCTACAAAATTAAATAGCAGTCCTCACACGTCACGGTATCTTAGCAACGTTGTCACTTCTTGTGGATTTTTTGTCCTTCAAGTAAACACCAAGGCAAACCAAAAACATTCGCACGATCATCTACAAGCAATCAAATAGTGACAATAAAACGATTGGACTTTGCTCAGAAAAAAAACGGATGGTTTTTGACAGTTTTCAAGTATGTACATTTAAACGTCTGATTGATGAAATGATGAACGTCCAGTGACTTATTGTTCAGGTGAGGAAGTAACATCTAAGTTTATACGTTGATCTCGTTGTGTGGATTGTGTTCCATTCAATGGAAATTAGATTTGTAATCTCAGTTCTCTTTTTGTGATAAGCACCATTGTCGTTTTTCAATGACCTACGTTTTTTTTGCCTGGCTTAATATGGCTAGAAAAAAAATGAGGCGTTACTGCATCGTCTATTGTCTTCGCGGGTCGATAATTAAACGATAGATACGAAGTAAGATCACGAGAAGGAAAGAAAAGCTCTATTTAACCTTGTCTAATGTTACCAGATTTGACTAAACTGACAGTCCACCATATGCAATGTTGTGTAACAAAATACTTTGCTTTTATTTTATTATTTACACATACCACATTTGCAATTCTACTCGTGCAACAACAGCCGAGCAAGATGATGATTATTCATACAACTTCATGTCTGACGTCTGGAAACTTTTACATGTAATTTAATTTTCAGTTTTGCTTCGGCTGGTTTCTCGAAACAGCAAAGAGAACAAAACGACCGATACGAACCAGTAAGCGGAATTAGATAATAAAACTAAAAGTACAGCATGGTCAGCATACCTTTAATCGGGATTTATCACTACTCACACACACTGACCATGTTACGTGGATCTAGGAAGAATAATGAAGGAAATATATCATGTAATATATGTATACTAACATAAAAAGGTAAAATTTAGGAGGTTGTACAGGAACATCTGAATTAAACCCGGCAACATAATTGTAGTTTTGGCGATCAAGCTGCCGATCACGGTTTGACTTCAGTTGGTCGAAAACTTATCTGAAGCTTTCAGTATCTCCAAGATGAAATAAATTGCAATCAAATTAGATAATCGTGTATTTATCATATTGAGCCAAATAGAACAAACAATTCTATAAACATGAAATTTTAAAATTGAAATTAAAAGGTAAACAAAAAAAGTAAAATATTGGATTAAATGTCAAAGGCGCCAACGGTTCGGGCCCGAAACGTTTGTGCTTTCACATTTATGACAGTTTTTTTTAACCTTTTATTTTCAATTTTTAAAATATCATATTGTACAACGCAAAAATTGAAAGAATATTATTGTTCCTTCGCTCTAATCCCATGAATATATTTTCGTGATGATGAGCTAAATTATGTGGGTGAATCCTCGCACTTTTTCATAGTCAAAAACTAAATGTTAAACGTTAATTTTTATTTTAGTTATTTTTCTTTCAAATCTTTCAAAAAGAGTTTTTAACGACACAGTCAAATAAATACTAACCTTTTTCGTTATAGTGACATTCAAGGTTCTTTTTCTCTTATTCACGCAGTTCTCCGATCGGGGGAATAAAATGTTACGATATAAACGTGGTAACCGATTGTCTTAGAAATTTTTCAGAATTCGCGTGTCCAAGTTCGTTTCGGGAACTTCCTTATAGCTATACTTTCTTGTTCAGCCACTCGTGAGCTTACTGATGTGGTCACGTCTCATGCAATATTTTGTGTATCGGTAAAAATGTAAATATCATTGCTTTATCTTAACTGGATTAAGGCGTCATGCTGATTGAAAGTCTTTCACATTTCCGAAGATAAATGACGATTTACTAAACATGCGATGTTCGAGGCGCAAACCCCAATTATATCGGTGACTTAATGAAACATACACCGGGAAAGCATCCTGTTGAATGTCAAAATACAAAGTCTGAACTCTTTACCTACGTTTGCTTTGACTGGTTCAACATTAAATTGAAATTTATTTTAATATCCAGTTCACCGAGACATCTGACGTTATTAAGTTTTTTAAACAGTCAAATGGGGTGACAAGAAAGCATTGAAATGAGCAAGTTTATTGGTTTTTTTTTTTTTAATAAACAATATAATTCAATTAATTAGTTGTCCAATTGGAACAGGGTGCCTCGTCCGCACAATGTTAGTTACAGAAAGTCAGGCTCGATATTTATTTATTTATATTCATGCAGTTTTCTCTAAATTGATAAAAATTGAGGCAATATGTTAGTAGGATTAGCCCTAATAGTAACATCTGCCACAACGAAATGACCAGCTTAATTTCAAGTCCTATAAGTACCTCTTTAGCGGTATTTAGCTCACAGGAAACTCAGAAGTAATTTACGTACCATAAAATCAATAAAGGTACATGTAATGGTGAAACACATCATTGTCAATTAGCTTGTGGGAATTTAAAAATAGCACTCTGAATTCTGACTTCCAAGCATGATGTCAGCAAAATACAAGCTATACACATTATTAAATGAAAGAGGTTTTATTGTTCGCCTAACATGATAATGAAATCAATTAACAATTGAGCAAATCACGGAACAATTTTCCGCCTTTCTTTATTACAGAAAAAGAGCAAGGGTTTGAATTCGCGTTTCTACATTTGGCGTGCGGCATAGAGATTGTGGCGTGCTGTGCACACAAAAAAGTATGAACATTAGTCGCCATGTTTGAAACGGGGAATAAATTATGCAATAGGTAATCGTTTCTGATTGGTCTACGTGGAGCATGCGCGTGCAGGTTCCCTCGCTCTTCTCTGCGCCACCGGAAGTAAATATGTTCGAAGGGCGGTCGGGGGACTGGGCTAGCGTTTGCACTGATTTATCAGCAAGTTTAAAAAGATTCATTGTAATGAAAACTTGTTCTTTTATTGCATGTTTAAGGACCTCGTTTATAAACTTGTAGCAAATCTCCAAATTTGATTTCAGAATATAAAAAAAAATATAAGGATGCTAAAACTGTAAAGATTTTGAAAGGATTTCATCGTAAAAAGCGAAAATCTTACGAACACTGAAAATTAAGCTGAAAAACACCAAATATGGGTAAAACGACCTGTCGAAACTTGATTGCCATGGAAACATCTAGTCACGTGATCAAAAAA